TGCCCCTTGGACTGCTTACAGGATTTACTTTAGCACTGGTTGCCAACAGATCAGTAAGTTTTTTTGAAAGAGAAGGATGGAGTGTATTTTAAAATGAAGTTTTGCATGTAGAAAGGCTTACTGTTTCTCAGAATAACTTGGGTTTTCATCAAAAACTGGAAACAGAAAATTACCCAGCAGGTTTTGCTTCAAAACTGTTATTTATAAATACTTCAGCAGTTATTTTTTTTTAATAAGGAAAATTTTTCTGATTAGGTTTGGTAGCAATTGAATGATGACATTATCCATAGCATAAAAACTGTTCATTCATTTCTGGGGCATTATAAAGCTTCTCAAGTGACCCTGAAAAGTTCAGTGGTGGTGTTCACAGATGTTTTTGCCCTCTAGCCTTCTTGACGTGCAACCTTCTGCACATACAGCTTAAAAAGACAATTCTAACGTATAGATGCTCGCCTTCCTGTATGCCTGCACACTGGAAGGTGAGTGTGCTGACAGGCATGTCAGCAAGAGGAGGAGTAAGACAGACAACCATCTGTACAGACTGTAGTGCGCTGCTTGTTCAGCCTACATAGTTTCTGTAAGCAGATCTGAAAGCAAAATGACAGTGGAGGGGTGGAAGATAAAATGCAAATAGGACAAGGAGAAAAAGAAGATGAAGAGAAAGGCTATCTGCTGTGAAGGCAGACCCCTTAAGCACAAGAATACTTAGGCACTGTGTCTAGATGGCAGCTAACTGCAAATGGAAGAACCCAGTCACATGTGTGACACTGAGGATTAGTTGAGGACTTCACTTGTTTAAGCCCCGTTCCTTCCCACTGAAATGATGCACATCGTTCCATCTCAGCTCCAGCAATGCTGCCTCACATGTACTCCATCACCAGCAGGCACCAAATGCTTCCTGGTCTTTTACAGTCATCTTTGACAGCTTTCCTTCCTCTTCCTGCCCCCAGCATGCTCTGCCCCTTCTCTGCCCCTTCTTGAGTCCCTAAACTGGCAGGTGGGAAAAGGAAAGCCTGTATTTATCAAGCAGCCAGCCAAACAGAACAGATAAACTGTGAGCTCGTACCACAGCCCCTCAAGAGAAAATCTGGATGAAATCGCTGGGTAATTTAAGAACACGGGGAAGGAAAAGGAGGAGATAAATGACAGAAAACATGACTGTACAAACCTCACCTCTGCAAGAAACAAGGTAAAGATAAGCACCAGTCACATCACCCAACTAGTGGATATATGCCTGGGTGACAGAAGGACTGTAAGTAGCTCTTTCATCAAAGTTCTTAATCACCATCACAAACTGGGTTTCTTTTCCCCTTATTCTCCCAATAAGTTTCAGTTCCAGCTTTGCCACGTGATCACAACATCACTGTGACATTTGCGTCAGAGCCTGGATTCTCCCTTTTAAAACATCCCCAACAGTAATGACATTTCAGATGATGCATTAATGAAAGGCTTAGCAACCGATTTATGTCAAAACGTAAACCTTTGTGACTCTTAACATTTAACACTCTGCAAGCACCACAAAGGGAGTCCTAGAGTTCATGCTTGGTGTTGTATGGAGCATGCAGATGGCTAGTTAAAAGAAAAGCCAAGGAAGAATGGGCTGTTTCAGGGCAGACGTAGTCAGCAAAATTTCTTTAAGCCAGTAATGTTTCCCAGCAGATCAAGTAGAAACAAGTATTTTCTCTTGTGTCTAGGTTGCTTCACAGTGGCTAATCAGCATCAGTCCCAAAGAGCAGGCAACACTTCAGCCTGGTACTGTAGAGATAAACTCCTCAAGAGATTATTTTGAAAAGCTAGACCTGATACTGTTCCTGTCAGAGCTACAGACTCTGCTAAAAACAACAGCCTTGATTTTCCCACATTGCACTAGTAGCTGCTTTAATTATAAAACTGAATTGTAGTAAGGGCCTGACCTCCTGACTTAGCTCTAACAGTTGAAAATATTTACCTTACATGGGCAAAAAAACCTACAGGGCAGAAGAAAAAAAAAAAGAAAAAAGAGGAAGACATATACATAAAATAGCTGTGACATAATCACAAGAATAACAGTAGAAGCGAGCATTTAAACTCCATCGTTTTCATGTTAGATTCTTTAGAAATATTCCAGATTCTACCTCAGGAAAACTCTGAAGAAACAAATTGGGACACAAGATCAGGTTGAGTGTTTTCATTTTTGCTATAGGCTAATAGCCAAAAACATATCAGGAGAAGGAAAATAATTTTAACTGTTACTGACTTTTAACTCAGCAGAAAACAAAAGTCTCAGCTTCTCTTAAAAATTAAAGTGAACACACATCTCAAATCACACAGTCCTACATGGTTTCATACTGCAGGATTTAGTAGTTTACTCCATATCTTTTTAAGAAGAAAAGCTTCCAAAAGTGGGCAGATGCAGCAGTCTGAAAGTGTCTTGGAATATTCAAGACATACAAATCGCCTCTTTTTGTCTCAGAAAGGATCTGGCTTTGCTTTTCATGTTGAAATTCATCTACACTACAAATACAGAATCGTGAGAAAGGTAGCACAAAATAAATCTATTCCACTAGAGGAACAAAGCATCAGTTTCTGACAACGCACCACCTTTTCCCTTCCTCTCTGTAGCTTAGAAATTTCGGTTCTGGCTGTTCCAAAACTGTGTCCTTACAGAAGCAGACATATTCTCTGCTGGGCTTGCTAACCAACACCAGCAGTAGGAGACAGGAGCAGAAAACAGAGTGCAACTGCATGTCTATATTCTATGGTGTACTTATAAAACAAACCCAAAACTCTACAGAAAATTATATTATTAGAAATGCCTTGCACTTCAACTGCTTAATTTTTGTGTCCAAAGCAAAAGGACTGTGTTTGGCATTTTAAAGGTACTGCTCATGCTCGCTGAATGTACTATCTCTAAGCAAATCTATCTCAACTACAGTTATTTAAATGATATTTATTATATTTAATGGTTTTATTACAGTTCCATGCGAGCTGACTGTAGTATCTCTAAGCAAATCTATCTCAAGTACAGTTAATTTAGATCATATTTAATGGTTTTATTATAGTCCACAATGCTTTTACCGTACAAACAGGAAGCCACAATATTGCAGCTAAACTTACATAGCTGGTCATCTTCATTTCCTTCTTGAATTTGGAAAGTAGCCAAAGCAGTAAAATCAGTAAGAAACCCTCATCCCTACAGGTACCAGAGGAAGTCTTGATGTACCAGCCACTACAGGCCACAAATTACGTGAGGCTCCTTGACAAAGTAGAAGGTCGGCCACATGAAAGTGATTCTAAGAAGCAAAAACATCAATAAGTTAATGTGCTCAATGTTCCTTCATACAAAGAAGCCTTTTGAGTCATCATCATCTCCAGTGTATGGCAGTTATGTGCTCTCAAACACAGATGTGTCAAAGAGCTTCTGACACCTGTTAGGGTGTACAGAATAGTCACAGAAAAGCCCAGGTGTTTAGCCAAACAAACAAAAAAAAATCACCGGAGATATACTACCAAAAAAAACAAAAAAAAAACCCCTCGTTCTTTGCTGTTTCCCAGCACAAAATCCAGGAGCAAGAACAACCACCCAAGCTGCACGTGCACCGATACTTTGGCTTGGCACCGCCACGTAGCTTTGCTGCACAGCACCCCCTTCACGGGGCAGACGCCAGGCCTGGCAAGGAGCACTGCACCCAGCTCAGCACCACCGCCTTGCACGACGCCTTTATCAGTCAGCAGGTGTATTAAGTGCCTAACACCCTGTATGTTAAATACTGGACTTATTAGGAATAAAATCTTTCCAAACACATAAAAGGAAACATCTTTGCAATTTTAAGCACAGTGACATTTTACTATGTGCCAGGCATCACATACATTTTCCTTAGGCAACAGGTAACTTGCTACGCTATGTCTTTGAGAGGAAAATCTTCCACTTGCTATCTTCCCAATAACTTTGCTGTCTTCATAGACATAAGATGACAGTTACCAGGGGCATAGCTGAAATCCTTGGATTTTAACATGCGCTGAGCTGAGCTGATAGGAAACTTTTTAATTGGAAAGGTCACAGGAGACAGATTTCTGGGCGTATCTCCAGCTAAATGTCACCTTTTCAGCAATGCTCTCATCAGAGGTTACATAAAAGGCAGACAGACACTTTTCAGTGATACACACGTCTACCTTGCAGCAGGCCTGCCTGCCTCCTAAGGGTAAAGCTTATATCCTCCAGGGATGTACAGCAGAAATGCTGTCTTACAATCCACAGCTGTGGAAGGTAAAGATCGGTCTGTAGTTTCCACCTGTCTTTCTATAGCCACGTACTGACCAGAACTAGAAACCAGAAGGTGATACAAAGCGAGGTGCCTGTGAAATTTCACCAAACAAAAATAAGACGCTCTGAAATCTGTTATTATTTTGGTTAGCTGCTTTTTTAGCTTGAAATTGAAAAATGTGCATAAACCCAAAGGTGCTTGATTTTGAACAGCAAATTGAATTCAGTCTCTCACATCGCAAATAAGCATCCTAAATCTCACTGCACTGGTCTGAATAGATGGGTACTCTTCAGTCTCCCTTCTGTGCAGTTATACTCTTGACTAGAGCTTTCTCAGTGTCAAATCCAATATATTTGCTGGAACAGATTCAGCTCTGATGATGCCCAACAACCAAAATTTTGTCACTAAACATACAAGTAGTTCTAGCAACACAATAAAAAACAACCTGAAATCAGACCTCAGCCTTTCTGCTCACACCCTTACTGCCTCGCTGTTTTCATTAACTGATTATGCCTCTTTTCTATTTCACTGGTGAGATGAGGGAAAAATTCATTCTATTCCATATTGTCTCCTGCTGTTCTTTCTCCAAAGCCTTCAACATATTTAAACATAAATCCCTGGAGGTTCTAGCTTAAGCAAAGGAAGAGTTGAATCAGGATTCTATAATAATTATTCCCTATAACCTCTGTCCATTCTAAGTCTGTCTCACAGACGAAACCAAGATATTTACTATCCGCAGAGTACAAGACAAAAAAATGCAACAAATATTTTTAGAATTTTATTAACTTTAACAAAACCAGCAAATTAAAGGATGGTCAGTTTTTTGTAGAGGACTTAGATACACATTTAAATGCAAACTGCAAATATATAACAAATTATGTACAATGGTGTCAGTCATCAAGAGAACACTAATCAATGTAATCCAAATCTTCCGGGATTCCAAAACCTTTATCAATTCTGCTCTCTTCAAATCCAAATTTACGTTTGGCCCAGGACTTTATTGAAAAGATGTTATCTGTGAACAGAATGAAAACCATTCAGCTTTGAATATTTAGGAAAGCATGAATTATAGTCTTGGCTACAACAAAATCCTTCCATTTAAAATATCTCTTGTGTGTCTGAAAAAGGTACATAGTGGGAAACATCATTACTAAGTAGATTTAGAACAGAAAACAGAAGGCTTTTGTTAATAACATAATTTTACTCAGTTCTAAGTAAAATATTTCCTCTTTTTTGGATGTTTTCTTTATCTTTCCTTGCTCCTCTTTTTTAAGGAGACTGAAAAGCATGATTACAGTGTAAGCCTGCTACAGTGATGAGGTAAGTGTGAATATGCATAGTATTTTATAGGTCCTTCAACTAGACACCTACTGACTGTCTACAACTGCAAAAATTAGATTTAAATTAGCTATAAAATCCTTTCTAGTCCCATGTGTTTGTTCAGACACTGTACATTTTTGAAAGTTAAATAAAAGAGATTCAAGAAGCTTTATTTTAATCAGCACTTCTCTTTTAGCTTTAACATATACATTTTCTTCAATTTAACATAATTTTTCATTGCAGTATTGACTGAAACTCATTACGTCATTTCTAAAACCCATTATGTCATTTCTAACACCCATAAATTGCAGCATTCCTTAAAAGAGTAAGTGTTCTCTGTCTGCACACCTTAGAAATATTTTCTTCAACCATCACACCTTTGGTTTTAAAACTGTCTCTTCAAAAGAAAAATATACTACAACATATAACCTAATTGTCTAATTAAAGCAAAGTACTTTCTACAGGCTGAGGCATAGCTCCTTTACCTCACTCGAGGCCTTGAGAACAACAGCCTGTCATCAACAGCAGAAAGCCCTGACAACAGAATTCCCAGAAGTTATTTTCAAATCCATAATTTTATTTGCCCATATGCAGTAAACAACCCAGTGCAAATGAAGATATAAAATAATAGTCGAAAGAATAAGAAAATTATATCCTGCTGCATTTTCATAACCAATGATAGTGAACAGTCCATCGGTAGGTCAATTCTAGACAAAAAATTACAAACAACATTCTAAATAATTTAAAAAAAATAAGGACATACAAATTGCTTGCTCTGCAAAATGGAAATGCAATATAGCAAACAACAGAAAATTGAGTTAAACTTCCACATGAATGTTATCACAATAATCTTCCTCAAAACTGTGCAGCATTTTTCTTGCATGTCAAAAGCTGATGAATTAGTTTGAGAAATATCTAGTTTATATCAGCATCCATCACATGGTAGCAGCAATAAGGTTCCACAAAGCATTCTTTAGAAATAGATGAACATTCAGAATAGAATTAAACTTTCTGAATGCCTGGGCACCACCATTGCCAGTCTCTATTGTTTTTCTGACTGTAAGAGATTTGAACTCTAACAAGGAAATGAGTTGCAGGTTTTAACACAGTGTGCAAGACAGCACCAGAAGGACAAATCTATTATGTCATATGAAGTACATTCAGTAACTAAACTCAGAAGATGTAGTCTTTATTTTGAATCATAATAGTTTATAAGCAAAATAAATTTCTGTATGTTTTTTTAAGTGAGGACTATCTAACAAAAAAAATTTAAAAATTTAATCAAATTTAAAATTCTTAACAATGAGTAGGTTTTTTTACTGAAATTGCTCGAATGTGAAGTTATGTCACTGCAATACACACCAGTCCATCTATTGGCTGCCTCCTTGGCCACTTTGTTTGTTTGGCCTGAAACAGAGAAAAACACCAACAACAATAAAAGCATACATCACAGTAAAATCATCCCATAGTTTCAAGACGCGGAGTTAAGTTTTTAGTGATGTCATTTTTAGGGAACCACACAATATAGGGAAGTTATTCCACTGCTTCCAAATACTTCTTTTGTTTTACACTTTCAAGGCTTCAGCAAGCACAAAGCTAAGTTAAAGAAAAACAGGATCAAGGAATATAAAAGATACCATATGAACAAATGTGAGTTTTAAAAGTGTATTTTAAAATAAAATAATCCTACTTTGGCTTCCCTGGGGGCTTAATTTTCTGCAGCAAGATTGGAACTAGATACATGGCCTGAAGATACTAGAGGCAATGGAGATGGAAAATATTTTGTAATTCTCTCTATACATAAGTAATCCATCACATGGGTATGCATGATTCCATATACATAAGGAATATGACAAGGCATCAGTCTATCACATTAATCCAAAAGTTTATCATAGAGATGTGGAAGGTCTCCCAGGCTTTAAGAATCCCCTCAATGAAATGAAGACAAATTAATGTTTCTGGTTATTAAATTTGGCTTAGCAACCTTACCACCACTCCAGAACTAAATACGTAATAGTAATTTACCATTACTACAAATAGCTTTTGTAGAGCTTCCATGAAGCAAAACTATCAAGAAAAATTCCTCCTAGACCACCTTGCTCCCATTAAAATAAGTACTGAATCAAATCAAGCAGGTTGGTTTGTAATGTGGGAATTTATCAGAATCATTATGGTTCTCACGCCTACACATAACTTAGGTATTCCCAGTTAGTCTTGTTAGTACTTGCATGATAATACTCATTTGAATGGTCAGCACGAAATTTGTCTCCAGGAGGTGCTTGGAAGTGAATATATGATCAGGTATCTATTGTTATACAGATTATACTTCAAGCAAAATTAAATTATGTTCAAAAATCACCTGCTAGCACACAGGAAGGTAAGCATTCATTATTCTAACCTTAATACTTCAGTAACTGATGTGAAAAATGTTTAAATTGGAGTAATATGACATTTCGAAACCAGTGTAGTTTCTAAAATGGTCTACAATTAGAAAGTTTGGGCAAAGCATGAAGAAAAGCAAAAAAGATGGGCAAAAAAAAGAGTGGGTGAGAAGATGGCATTTTTGCTTGCCTGCATGCATCAGAAATTCAAGTTGTTCCTAGCTTGAGAGAGATATTCCTTTTTTCCTTTGCTGATTGCTAGTTGCCACCTCCACTTGTTCAGTTCCATGACTGGCAGTGCTGACAACATATTTGCAGCTAACAGCATTTGGAACAGTACTGTACTTAACCTAACCCTACTTAAAACAAGTCTGCAGAGTAAGAGCTTTCACTGGTCAAGATTTAAAATGTTAGTTGTGATACTTCCCTCAGTCCTTATTTTTCTGAAATTCTACAGTTAAAGTTGAAAGCTGTATTTGACTCCAAGTAATGAAGTTTGAAATGAAGTGGGGGAAAGTAGGATAGCATTAAACTCATGGATCCAGAGCAGCAAGGTGACAGCATTCTGATGGCAGGGGAGCCAACCTACTCCGCAGCATTTGTAAGGTCTCAGCAGAAAGTTCTGCTTTGCTGGAAGCAGCTAACCAGCCTTGCTCTGTGCTTCTCCATCCCACAGCAGCTTTAAGTTCATGCAGCTTTCAGCACACAGCTCTGTGCTTAAAGCCCAGTGGCCATATAATACAGTACACTAAAAAACAAACAGTGGCAGCAAGGTGCATCGTCATCCTGCAAACATTGCTCATGTGTGTCAAAATATACATATGTGATCATGTGTTCTGAAAATGTGACTACATACCTCAGTCAGAGAAAAGGCTGAGATGACAAACAGATATACAGCATGGGCAACAGGGTGGTTAGAATGGCAGCTGCTGCCTATAACTGAGCTGTGGCTAGAAATTAAAACATGCCAGTGAGAGCAGAAAGCTATAGTGGGGAAATCCCACAGTGGGCATCAGTTTCAATGATTTCAATAGCAGAGAAAAAAAATAAAATAACAAAAACCAAATCAAACAAAAACTCCTGAGAGTAAAAGCTATACAAACAAAATGAAGAAATATTTTAACCATGGCATTCTTTCCATGCACCACCTGGGACTGATCACAGACTGGCAGCAAAGTGTCATGGTAGAAGCATGGAAGAATCCACAAGGCAGAACTTCAGGATGGTGAAGGTGACATTCAAACAACCTGTCTGAACATCAAAGAAGAGGACTCAGTCCTTCAGCAATTGGGATGACATATCCCCCACATTACTTTGCTGCCAGAGGACTCAGAGTTGGGGAAAAGAAAGCCACTTGCAAAGCCTCAGGCACATCACATATCCCAGAAACACATTCACAAGAGGCTGAGGCAAATGTTTCCTGCTTGCTATTTCGCATTACCTATGATACATCCATGTATATGACAGCACCACAGGGATGCAGGTATGGATTTATTCTACCAAACTGAAAGTTGCCTATACTATCAGGCAAATTTTATCAACAGCAATGTCAGCTATCTTGGCAAGTTGCAAGACACTCATGTTTTCCTCATGTCCAGCCTGAGCAAGCTCACGCAAACAAGACAGACTGCATTGTCTGTTGACATCAAGTGAGACTGTCAGTGTCCCTGCTGCAGGATGGCACTGCAGTCTACTTAACCACTATTTCCTTCACTTAAATTTTCCCTTCACATTTCTTTTTTTAATTTGGGGTGCAGGAAGCATACCTCATCCATCTTCACAAACTACTATGTCATCTCACCTCAATTGCTGCCTCTTGGCTACAGGCAGAGCTTTTAGCTATCTCAAGGCAAGATGTAATCCTTTGGGATCAGGCTTAACCTTGCCTACAATTCCACTGCGTGATCTTGTGTGCCTGCTGTAACCAACACCATGCCTGAAAGAGGAACGAGACAGGCTTTGGTAGTCATGGACCTGTGTCACCTGAAGACAGCAGCCACATCTGCATCATCGCCAGCCATCTTCCAGAGGCCTCCAACTCCGTCACAAGAACTGACAGAAATAAAGGAATCTGCACCTTGACTGCTTTCTGGAAGCCTTTTATAGTTGCTTGTTGGGACTTTCACTGGTTTCATCACCTGTATGTGTACATGCATGGAGGATGAGGGAAAGGAGAAGTAGTAAAGCAGACACCCCCCAGACACGCCTACTTTATATATGGGTGTCATGCTACTTCTGATTGCCTATTCTCTAGCTCCAGAGGATCACACAGGCATTGGACTTCTGGTTTTTAGACTGCACTGAAAAAAGAAAGTTCAAGATCTAAAGACAGCAATAGCATGGGAACTTAAAAATGTATACTCCAAAGAAGAATCAGGACACCAACTGTGTGATCTGTAAAAAGGAGAAATGCATACACAGCATTAAGGGCAACTGGTTAATTGCCAAAACCACCACTACCACTGGGTCCCAAACTTGGCTGGAGTCCTGCTGATCCTCCTGCTGACCAGAGCTACTCTAACTGAACTTGATTTTTGGCAGCTACTAAATAGTGCTCCAGTACTGAAGCTGCACAAAACAATGAAAAGGCCAAATGTGCAGTAGAGGTGAGCAATACAGGAAGCAACATTTTCCAGATGCTTCCAAATGTTCTCCTTACCGTTACACTCTAGTTACACTCTATCTATACATCTGCAAATAGGCTGACAATATATACAATTGCTGCCTGGAAACAACAAAATTATCCATTTGTTCTGGATATTACATATTTATTTCAGCTACTTGTATGACAATACATCCATAGATATTCCCACTCCCAAGTCTGCAGGATACAAGTCATTTATTTGGCTGAGGCACTCACTTGTACCCTCTGCTGAAGAATTTCGGGCACATTTGGCATTTTCTAAGAAAGAAAATGGAAGCTTGCATTTTCTCTCCAAAACTGAACAAAAGCAACCGCTGTGCGTACAGCAAGGCAAGGCCCAGGAACAGCATGACTTGCAATGCTTGTCTGTTATGTTAGCAAAACACACCTGGAAATATGCCCTAAACAGTGAAAGGTTAAGGGTCAGAGAGTAAATTCTGACCAGTCCTCATGGAAGTCTCTTCTTCCCTCAACCCCAGGTATTTCTGGAGAACTGGGGGAAACTCAAAGAGCCCTGATTCTGGGAGCTGAACCATTATCCTAAGCAACTGTGATTGTCCTTACCACAGGCAGAATCCCTTGTATTTCCATAGAAGAAAGCAATGGTAGGGAAAGGAAGGTCCAGGGGGAGGGTATTTTGGAGCAGGCCAGGAGACAGAGCTGACAAAAGGACACATGGACACCTGTCGGAGATGCACCAAGGAGCCTTATAAAGTAAATGAACTGCACCTGGTCAGGAGTGAAGGCCAGCAGCACAAAACATTTACACAGCACTGTTTCTGAACAAATCTGAACTGGCAACATATATTGACTCAAATCTTAGCACAGTAAGGCCACAATGTTTCTGATCTGGCTCAGGAAGCCCCACAGTCATTCTCAGCATACTGTAGAACTACAGCTTCCTTTTTGCTTTCTTCTTTCCTCCTTCCCCCAGATTCTCTCCCTTTTTTTCATGGAATGGGAAGGTGGTAGGAATTAAAAGTCCTATTTGCATTCCGAAAATGAAGGGCCAAAAGCTGTAGAATCTCAAGTATTTCCACAGGAAGGGAAAACCACTACATGCCTCCTTGACACAATATATATACTAAGTTAGTGTTGCTATGAGACTTTGGATATTTTCACAGGTGAAAAACAATTGTGATAGCAACAACCACCACCATCTCCTCACAAACGTTTTCCAAAAAAAAAAAAAATCTACTTTCAGGTTCTTCCTAAAAGCCTTTTTAAGTCCTGCACATATCATTATAGAAATATTAAGGACTCAGTCATGGAATAGAATTCAGCTCAAAAGGCAACATAAAGTTCCAATAGCTATAGTAAAAAAAAAAAAATTTCAACAGCCAGAACCAGCTCACAACCACATATTATCTTGGAAACGCACA